GTTTCTTCTTTTATTCTGTTCTAAGATTTGGTTTACTGTAACCATCTCCAAAAGACCTATATTTGTGTTCTCAGTTACTCTTAGCAGGATAACTTTTATTTAATGAGGAATAGTCTGACAAGAAAATTAGGTGCCCTGTCTTTACAGAGCAGCTTTTTGAGAACAACACCATCTTCAACATACTGATTCAATGAATCCCTTGTATTTTTCCTACTTTTTTGCTCCTTTTCACTCTTCTTTTCCATCTCTGTACCCATCAAATTAGTTCTGGACACTGAAAAGTTTCATTCTGTGATTCCTTATTTCTTCATATTTTCTCATTCATATGAAGATTTTCCATTATCCTCTGTTTGCTGACAGGTTACAAATTTATTTCTAGTACACCCCTCTCCATGGAGTGCTGGTGGCTCTGCAGTTAAAGTGTTTGACTGCTAACCAAAAGGTCTACGGTTCAAGCACACTATTCACTCAGCAGGAGAAAGATGTGGCAGTTTGCTTCCGTAAAGATATCGTTTTAGACTTCTGATGGAGGGTTGACAGTTCACACCCACCTATCACTCCTTGGAATTCCTATACTGGGTCACTCTGAGTTGGAACCAACCAGATGGCACTTAACAAGAACAATGAGGCAATTCTAGTCAGTCATATAGTATAGCAGTGATTTGGAATTGACAGCACTTAACAACAACAATCCTGGTATGACGCTGTAGGATACGCACTCAACAAAGTTGGCAGTTCAAACCCACCAACCAATCCTTGTAAATCCTATTACAGGGTCGCAATGAGTTGGAACTGACTCAACAGTACATAACAACAACAATAACAACATTCAGCAATGGGTTTTGGTACATAGCTCTTCTCTGAGAAACAAATGCCAAGTGCTTATTCAATATAATATCTTGAATATCTTAAAAGTGTTTAAACTCAGCATGATCAACACTAAATCTATAATCTCCACTCCCCTCTTTCCAGATCTCGGTTTCTTCTAGCTTTTCCTATTTCAGTGGTGACTCTATTACACATCTAGCTGTTCAAAGAAGAAATGTAGATGAATACAGCACCCTTGTTAAAGACACAAACTGAAATGTGGTATCCAATACAATCAAATCATATTTGTATCATTTAGATTTAAAATGTGTGTTTATAACATGTGTCTAATATGCCTATTTCAACAAATAACTTCATGATAAATGAAGAAAAAACTGAAATTGTCAAAGACTTCATTTTGCTCGGATCAACCATCAACACTTATGTAAGCAGCAGCCAAGAAATCAAATGATGAATTGCATTAGGCAAAATCTGCTGCACAAGACCTCTTTAAAGTGTTAAAGTGCAAAAATACCAGTTTGGGGACTAAGGTGCACTTGACCCAAGCCAAAGCATTTTCAATTACTTCATATGCATGTGAAAATTGGACAGTGAATAAGGAAGACCTTAGAAGAATTGATGCATTGGACTTATGATGTTGGAGGAGAATAATGAAAGTACCTTAGGCTGCAAAAAGAACTAACAGATCGGTATTGGAAGAAGTACAGCCCAGCCAGAGTACTTCTTGGAAGCCAGATGGCCAAACTTCGTCTCTCATACTTTGGACATATGTCAGGAGGGATCGCTGGAGAAGAATATTGTGTTTGATAAAATGGAGGGTCAGAGAAAAAGAGGAAGACATCCAATGGGATGAATTGGCTTAGTGGCAGTAGCAATGGGTTCAAATGTAACAACGATTGTGAGGTTGGCACAGGACCAGGCAGTGTTTCGTTCTGTTGTGCATAGTGTCACTGTGAGTCAGTACCGACAGGATGGCACCTAAAAACAAGATGCCTATTTCATAGAGTTGCTTTTTTTTTTTTTAAGATCAAATGACATAAATCATATAAAATGCTTATGCATTAGATAGAAAGAAAGATGATGATTATGATAGATAGATATTGTTAAGTGACATTGAGTTGTGTCTGACTGACTCGTAGCAACCCTGTGCAGAGTTTCCAAGGAGCAGCTATTGGATTTGAACAACTGATCTTGTGGCTCAAACTGACCTGCGGTCCAGTGCATTATCCTGCAGTGCCAAACCAGGACTCTGGGTAGATAGATAGCTGTCATCAACTTAACTGAATGAAATGTTGCCCAGGTCTACATCATCCTCAGGATCACCGGCATATTTAAATCCATCATTGTGACTCTTTTGCCAGTCCATCTCACCAAGGGTCTCCCTTGTCTTTATTGGCTTTCTACATCACCAAACATATGTCCCTCCCTAGTGACTGAGCCTTTCATGCTGTGTCTAAAGCAAGTGACACGATGTTCTGTTGTTATCCACAGAATTTTCACTGGCTAATTTTTGGAAGTAGAGCACCGATCCTTCCTTTCTAGTCTGCCTGGATCTGGAAGCTCGCACTAAAACCTGTCCAACATGGGTGATTCTGCTGGCATTTGAAATCCCTGTGGTATAGATAGCTACCTGTATCAGAGCAACATGTAAGCCATCACAGTATAACAAATTGGTAGACAGGTGGGGGTTTATTTCAGAGTAAGCCTTTAATCATGTCACCTATTATTATTAGTTTATTATGTTCCTCTCCTTCACTTCATACCCAAATTGTATAGATTGTGTCTCCCAGAGTCTCTCAAATGCCTTCATTTCTTTCCAATGCAACTCTTACCACTCTTGTCTAAACTACCAGACCATTTTCATTTCTTGACCTGAACAACCAAAATAATGAACTCAATGAGCTTGCTTGTTTTATCCGGTTACACTGTAATCCACTGTAAATATATTTGCCAGAGAGATCTTTCTTAGAATTCAAATATGAACATCTCACACGCTTGCAGTTATCTTCTCATTGCTATAGGTCCTGAACTATTCCACCTCTACCAGAAAACCCTCCTGTCATTTCTCACTGTATTTTGTGGATTCCCTTTAGGTCTTGTGTTACCTCTGATCTCAGGACATTTGTACATGATCTTCTTTTTTGTCTGGAAAGTTTTAAACACACAACTCATCTTTGCTTTGTTAGGTCCTGATCATTTTTGAGATTTCAGTTCATACTTTTTCAGAAAAGACTTTGTTTGATTTTTTCAAAATAAATTTTGAATAATTGAGTTGTTGTTGTTGTTGTTAAGTACCGTTGAGTCAGTTCCAACACATAGCGACACTGTACAGGGTTTCTGAGGAGCAGCTGGTGAGTTTGAACTGCCTACCTTGCATTTCAAATGGTTTTGCAGTCTGGTGCATTAACCCACAGCGTCTCTTAGAAGTAGAAGGGGAAAAAAAAAAAAAAAGAAGTGAAGGGAAAGTAGAAGATTTTAAAAATGGATCAACCAAAAATCATTTCACATAATTGCACAGGAAACAGGAGACGATGAGAGGAGAGGGAGAGAGAGGTAAAATGTCGGATGTATAACTAGGAGCTATGGTTTGCAAAGGAGTGCTGATTCTTTGGGTTTCCATTTGCTGTAGATGGTGATGATTTGTATTTGTAACACGTTTGCTTTCTTGTTTTGCAGACCACTGCTACTCTGCACATGATTACTGTAATCTGTGCCTTCCTTTGTCCAGTTCTCAAAAGGAAACCAGTCAACATCATGGAAGGAAAGAATCAAACCGCCCTGTCTGAATTCATCATCTTGGGATTCTCTAACCTAAATGAATTGCAGTTTTTAATATTCACCATCTTCTTTCTGACTTATATCTGTACTTTGGGAGGGAACATGTTCATTATTTTAGTTACTGTGGTTGATCCACACCTACACACACCCATGTATTATTTTCTAGGGAACCTGGCCTTTCTTGACATCTGCTATACCACTACCAATGTCCCCCAGATGATGGTGCATCTTCTGTCTCAGAAGAAAAGTATTTCCTATGGAGGATGTGTGCTTCAACTTTTTGCATTCATTTTGTTTGTAGGGTCAGAGTGTTTCCTCTTGGCAGCAATGGCTTATGATCGTTACATTGCAATCTGCAAACCTTTAAGATATCCGGTAATTATGAACAAAGCACTGTCTAGCCAGTTAGCAGCCTTGTCATGGACTGGAGGTTTTCTCAACTCAGTGGTGCACACGGTACTGACATTCCGCCTGCCCTTCTGTGGGAACAATCAGATAAATTATTTTTTCTGTGACATCCCTCCTTTGTTGATGTTGTCTTGTGGGGACACTTCTATCAATGAGCTGGCATTGCTCTCCACTGCAGTCTTCATTGGGTGGACGCCTTTTTTGTGTATCCTCCTTTCCTACCTGTACATAATCTCTACCATCTTGAAAATCCGCTCATCAGAGGGGAGGAGAAAGGCCTTTTCTACATGCACCTCCCACCTGGTCATTGTCCTTCTGTACTATGGCAGTACCATCTTCACATATGCACGACCTATCTCATCTTACTCACTGGAGAAAGACAGGCTGATCTCAGTATTGTACAGCATTGTAACTCCCATGTTGAATCCTATAATTTACACATTGAGGAATAAGGACATCAAAGAAGCTGTTAAGGCAGTAGGAAGGAAATGCCAGGCATCAAGTTCTCTCTTCTGATATGTATCATATATAATAAAATAATCTTATATTGAGTGAAGTTTTTTCCAGCTGACTATTTCTAGTGATAATCAATTTATAAGTTGATTGTAATTTGTAATGTGTGACCAATACTGAACAGTTGACACCCTCAACCTCAGTGTACACATTCTTTTCAAGGTTTTTGTGTGTGTGTGTGGATTGAGTGAAAGTTTACAGGGCAGATCATCAGTTTTACATTCAACAAATCATACACCTTGTTTCATTACAATGATTAT